GCTCTCATTCTGATTGTAGAGAGTTGTCAGTTTATCTGTCTATAACTGGTCAGTTTCACAGTAAGTAGCTATTGGTTTACAGCTTTAATGTCTTTTTTGTTTTACATTTACCTTTGCACTTGGTTAAATGTAGTTCTCTACCTCAGGTTACCACATTTCCTAAGTGATTTGCGTAGATTCATACAATGGTTCCTTCTCTTCTTTTAATTTTTCACTTTAGCTACTCATGGCTGCCCACAATTGTGTAATAGGATAAATGCCAAAAGGGCTACACCCACTTTTAAGAAAATAATAAAAATCTTAGGTTGTGTACTACTTGAAAAGATTTTCCCTTTTGTCAAAAAGACATTGACTTTGTGTTTCTTCTCCATTGCTCTCATATACTAAGCCCTTACAAATAGAAGCAGCTTCCCAGTGTTTAAGTGGTTAACCATTTCACGCCTGCACATACAGTGCCCAGTGAGCACATTTTGTCTTGAGAGGTACAGTAGGGCTTGGGACTAAACAGAGAACATGACGAGGGAACAATCTTGTGGCCCTCTGGACTGCCTGGCGAAAGCTTCCTCAGGCAGAGGGACAGCAGGTGCACAGAACCTGAGGTGATAGTGTTTATATAATACCTAGTCTGTGCTAGACACTGCCTGACTCAGCAGCCGTGCACAGGCAAGGAGGCTGGTAGTCCTCACCCTGGTCTGCAGTCTACACAGAGTTCCCTGAGTATCGTTTGTGATTTAGTTTATATTTATATAATCCTAGGCACTATATCAAGCTGTTCACATTTGATTTCAGTTTTCTCAGATTTGGGAAAGAGAATTTTTTAAAAAGAAGGATTTCCTGGGATATGGCTAAATAATCAAAACTTCTCCACTTAGGTTTTCACACAATTGCTCCTCTGAGGATGCCTGTTGGTAGCTGCATTCCTCAATGCTTCTTGTGGGTTGGAGCCAGGAAAGCTAAGTGCAATATGGATACCATAAAGAAGTAGAGAAAATAGAATCATATAATTTGTGAGAGAGCTACTTGGAAGTGATTTCAAAGATGTTTTTACTAGATGAATATGCTTCCAAGCACTGGGAGTAGTAGTTCCAGTGTCCATCTAGAGTATTAGTATCTGTCTCTAGCTCAGAGGAATCTGTCAACAGAGAAATGAGTTCATCAAGTGATGAAGTCAGTATTGTAGCAGTTCCCTGAAGAATTACAAAATATTCAAGATTGCTAGTTTATGGTCACAATATAATACTAAACAATTTTTGAGTGTAATGGATTTTGTACTTTTTAAGGAAATACTGTAGAAATTAAAATAGACTAGCAGTGTCTTTAGGTTAATAAAATCTTGTTGCAATGATACAAGGAGTCCTTCCATATTTTCTGTGCTATCAAGTGCTTTGATAAAATCTTTTAGGAATTTTTTTTGGTACAGACTCAATAATATTTGTCATATGTTTATGAAATTGCAGAATAGCTTCAAGTTAGAATGATGGAAAAAGGGCTGAGTCAATACTAATCTTATGTTGGGTATGCATGATTTCCCATCAGCTAACAAGGATTTAAGTTGACTGACTGATTCCATTTTGCATGTTGTAATAACACTATTGTTGTAAGGCAAGTACATTTGTTTTGTGTATTTAGATTTGATGAAAATTGAAGGATCCTGGAAACAAGTTGCAGGATTCTTTTCTTTTGATCAGGGAACTGTTTCCACCTGAAGAGGATGGTTATTTTCATGAGACACAGAAATAATTACTTTAGTTACACAGACAGATAGACACACACACATATTAGATACTCAAGGCAAACAGAGTTCAAGTAAAATCATTATCTTGCAAATTGAATCCTTGAGACGCCTTCACATTTTTCTTTTCTTGACTTCTCTTACTTTCTAAAGACTCTTAAATCACAAAACTATTTTCTTTTATGAGCCACAGTACTGCCACGCCTATAGTTAGTTATTTTTCTCCAATGATTTTACTTTTTCTCCATGCTTACGAGGCTTTCTGGCAGTAAGTCTGAGACTTAAAAAGAAACAATTCATTTTATGAGTTCCCTGTATCAGGACACTTGAGACCTAGCTATAGTTATTACTTAAATGCTGCTTATTAGTAGGAACATTGGCACTAGGAAGTACTAATCCTGATAGGAAATGTAAAGAATTAAAATGAAAAAAGAAATGATAGATTTTTTTTAGCTAGTATGTTTTCAGATGATTTTTCGGTATCACAACACAATGTTTCCAATTCTAATCTATTTTTGACTTGACTTAAAATTACTTTGACTTATAAAAATTCATTCTATATATTTATAATGTAGCCACAGGCCCAGCTTATTTTCCCAATGGTAATATACATTAAATGCTTTGATTTAAAAATAGTTCATTTGCTTGTTGAGATATAACTCATATAGGAATAATTGCTTTGAGAACACCCTGAATGTTTCAGAAGTGCTTTTATATCTACCAATACAGCCTGCATTGCACCAAATTCCACTAATGTAATATGATACATTAATGCCTGATACAATTGCATCATGACCAGTTGAAATTCATTTTTTCCACTATCACAGAATTTACTATGATAAATAAAGATGAGGAAATATTCATTTTTAGTTTGCAATAATAAAATTTCCACATTAGGAGAACTGCATACTACTTAGAGGCACTTTCTAGGAAGCAGATTAAAATGCAACTTTAAAACAGTGTTTTAATAGCTATGAGTCCAGAAATATCTAATTCGGAGAACATTTGACTGGTGGTTGTGAAGGGTCAACATAAGAAAAAAAAAACTAGGACAAATCTTGTCCTCAAGTTCTCACTTGCAAATCCCAGTGAAGCCAATGGAAAGTTTATGGTAATAACTGAAAGGCACATTTGGCCTAGTTCAAAAGCTCTATCAAATTAGTATTTTAATACATTGTCCTAGTTAAGTGTTGTTTTCATGGTTCTTTTAACGTTGCTTCACTCAGGATTCATTCATAGTTTACTCAGAAATCACAGAAATGAGGATAGGCTAACAGGGATTTTTGACCTTTTGACCTTCAAACATATGTTGACTACATAACCTCCCTATCCCAATGCTGAGAAAGGGACCTACCAATGTGAAGAAATTTACAGACCCAAGGCTAGCTTTGTGGTTTTTAATGCCCCTACAGAGGGAAGTATAAATGATGTAAAATATACAATACTGATACTGAGCTTTGGGGAATTTGTCTCTGAAACTCAACTATTGATACAGCTGACAATACCTGATACTATAAATAATGTGGTAAATTTTATTTTAGAATACTGAGTATATAAATGTCATTGTAGCTGTTTCCTTGTCATATAAGCAGGAAGTCAGGTAACCTTTAACTTCCTCTGATCTGTATTTATAAAGTCTCTGTTTTGGCCTGGTTCTACCTCAGATACACAAGAATGTACCTTCTCAGTGGTACCAGATTTGGTTTCTGGAACAAAGCAGCACTTCATGACATTCTGGAGTCAGTTACCAAAGAAACTTGATTTCCTCAAAGAGGTGGACTTTGAAAAGCACCCACCATCAGGTTTCAGACCTATCTTTGCAGGTTGGACCAAGGAAGCTTCAGGGAGACACCTGTTAAAAAGGGAGCCAGGCAAGACTTTCTCTGCTGAAAATCAAGCCCAGTCCTGGGAGGAAAATGTGAACCCTAGCCCTCAGAGCCAGATGAATTGAGTTCATATCCCTGTTCTATCACTTACTAGCTCTATGACCTCAGTAACTCTGTTCAACCTCTGTAGGCCTCTGTTATCTCATCCCTGAAAAAAGAACATAGTAACTGGGTTTTTGAGAATTTAAGAGTTCAAGTATCTTGAGGATTGTTTTTCTCAGCTTAGCCCTCATTATTAATTTCTATTACATACTATCACTTAGATTTGTCTCTTAGCCCAGTTGCCCCCGACAACTCCTCCATCGAAGTAGTGTGAGAGGGCCTGGATGCGAGAAAGGATGTGTGGAGGCAGGAGATGCCATAAGATAAAAATGAGAGCTGCTTCAGTAAAAACTAGGAGCTCCCCTGCCCCTGCTCTATCTTGATAACTAACTATTTCACAGAGAGGAAACAGAAGCCTTCTCTCCATTATGCAATATGAATCTCAACCCTAGATCGGCTTCTGTGTATCTCTAGGCAGTGCCAAGGGGTGTTCAGCCATTTACAGGAGAAGAGGTGGGTGGGCAAGGAGACTTGCCAGTGCCAGGGCTGGAGCAGAGGAATACAAACCAGAAGCCACATTGCTCTCTCATTCCTGAGACCTCTTGAGACGCTCCCAGAGGCTCTCTGAAACATGGTCAGGAACTGGGGCAAAGTCTTAAGAAGTTGCCATAAATGTAGCAAAACATCAAACGTTCCTTGCTTGTAACATGTGTTACCCACCAGACATTGTGCTAGCAATTGGTGACACAAAGATCACGACGAAGTCCGACCTCAAGTCGCCATCCACGAACCCAGATATTTTTAAGACCAGGAGCAGAGTTCAGAGCCATCTGGGGCCCAGGCACTGACTGCATACAGGTACTGCACGGTTGGAGAGGTGAAGGAAAAATGACATGGCAGAGGGAGATTTTCAGATTGAGTGTGCCATCCTGGGCAAGATAACGTCTTTTTTGTTTTACATTACCTTTGCACCTCTTAATTATCTTAAAATACTGATGGCATAAATGAAATCAAGTCCTGCTCTAAAACCGAACTTACCAACTACGTATGACTTAAGATTTGAACTAATTCTAACATTACCATTTCAGAAATGTCTTAATATTGACAAGGAACACATCCCTTTCGCAAGAAGCCGTACTGCATTCCATTGCGTCTGCCTGTACGAGTAGGTGGAACGTGAGCGAAATTCCCAGGAAAGGCCCTGAGACCTCGCGTTCCGTCCGGACGCTGTACACGTGTCAGCCGGCCCCGCCCCTGGCCCCGCCCATCCCGAGTGTGCGGGGTCTACCAATGCTCGCGAGATCCCTCTAGGTTTCCACGTTTGCCACGTTCCAAAGGACCCAGACTGACTGGGAAGCCGAAGGCTGCTCGCGCTCAAAGGGTTGCGCCGCGTCAGAAGAGCCCCAAGTCTGCAAGGGGCGGGAAGCGCGGCAGAATCCGCCCCCTTATAGAAGCCCTTGTGATTGGCCTTCCCCCGTCACTCAGCCTTCCGCCGGCGAGGAGGAGAAGGCGGGCTCCACAGGGAAGGGGCGTGGCCAGGCTCCGGTAAGGCGCGCGCTCTCGTCTACAGAGGCAGTCATAGGTTCCACGCACGCCAGGGCCGGGCGCGCGCAGCCGGCAAGTGGGGAGAGTCCTCGGAGGCGCGGCGGGCAGTGCAGAGATACGGGAGCTGCTGCAGGAGATTCGGCCCGCACCCGCTGCAGCCCCCGCCCCAGTCAGCGGCCCGGCGGCCCGCGTGTCACCGCACTGTCGGAGCCCGCAGCTCTCTCCTGCTGCAGCGGTGCGCGCAATGGCCCCGCGCAAGAACGCCAAGGGCGGCGGCAGCAACAGCAGTTCCAGCAGCGGCGGCGGCAGCAGCCCCGGGGCCCGCAGAGGTCAGAGGCGATCCGGGACGGGGGTGGGGCCGGGGGTGGGGCCGGCGGCGGGCGCGGCGGGCCAGTCTGTCCGCATCCCACCGGGCGTCTCCGGCATCCTCCGCGTCGTTCCTCCTCCTGGCGCGGGGTGGAGGCCGCGCTGGGTGGGCCTGGCGGGCGGGCCGGAGGGGGAGCGGTGCCCAGCGGGCCGCTCACCTGCAGGCGCAGCCGAGATGAGGTAACTGGTCACTCTTCCTGCGCTTTCCGTGGAACTGAAGGTGGGAGTAAGAGAAACGGTTTTGCACATTTTGGGGAGTTTGGAAATGAGCCAAAGTCAGAGAAAGTAAGTTCCTGCCAACTAGAAGCTTTTGAGCAACTTAAAGGCTATTATTCTGTGGGGAGTTGGGGGTGGGGTGAGAGGGACAGATCTGAATGTTCTTGGAAATTAAAATTGTTTGCCTTTATACGTTGGAGTTGCTTTTAAAGTACCATAGAACACCGTAGAATACTGGCCTGGCTTCTCTAATTTTTCCCTTTGTCTTCTCTTTTTTAAAAAGAGTGTTGGATATTCACCTTTCTCATCCCTCTGCTTAGCCTGCAAAGAGAGAACAGATGTTTTAAATCTGTTTCATCTCGTATTTCAGTGGTTCTTGGTTTCTTTTATACTGCCTTTGACTCACATTAAGGTTACTGAAACTACAGTACACATGTATATTAAATGTGATCTACAAACTTTCGTATTTGAAATGATCATGTCAGATGATTTAGACTGTTTCTTGAGGTTTACGTGTAATGCATTCTTTAAATATATCGACAATAAATCAGAAAACTATAGTCATAACTCAGCTTTTTAATAGCACTTAGCGACTATCTGAAAATGTCTCATTTATTTTCCTGTGTATTGCCTTTCTGTCTTGCCCTCTTCTCTTCATTCCTTTCCCTAATTCCTAGAATGGCCTGGCCCCTAAGAGGTGCTCAGTACGTATTTACTAGTGAGTGAATGAATACATTTAAATGGTGAAAGTGCAATTAAAGTCATTGCACAAATGCACATTCTAAAAACTAGTATTTGTTTTGTAAATGGAAAAAGGTACACACAGTTTAAAGTTCAAGCAAACATATTCACCTTTGGCACAAGTAAAAGTTTATGTTCCTTTGTCACTTATCCTTAAACTCCAGTTGGTTAAACGAACAGGGGAGTAGATGAAGTGTCACAGGCAGGTCTGGCTACACTTGTTTGTGCTGCTCAGGCTCCAAGCAGAGGGAACTGATGGATAAGACTTAAAAGTTGTTTTCTAAAGTTTTCTGTAGCTATTTACTTGTGAAGCACATCGTTGTTCCATTTTTATCTTTTGTCTCAAGGGCAGAGAGGACTGATGGCATCTGAGGAAGTCACTTTATATGGCCTGCTACTAGTAAGAATTAGTATTAAGAAATGTATAGTGTGTTCCCACCCCCCACTGATTAAATGACTGAACCCATTTTAACAGGCAGGTAGTAAATTTAGGAAATGTGACCCAAATTAAACGTATCCTGACTTTCATATTCAGGCATTTAGAGCAAACTGTGTCCATATTTGAGGATCTGCAGCCTTTTAAACATCTTACACATTGATTTCATAATTGTCATGAAACAGAGTATGTAAAAGAGGGTATTTATGTAAAAGAGAAAAAGTACCTGTATTACAAAACAACAACAACAACAAAAAACCCCACAAAACATTTAAAAAGTTGGTTTTGGAGTCTTGCAGATTACATAATGAGTATTTTTTTTCAGCAGTAATTTTTTCAGTAAATTGAGCTCTGAATGTGTGCCAGGTAGAGGCCCTGGAGATAGAAAGGAGGATTCTTTCAGTGGCAAACAGTTACACCACAGTGTGAAAGTGTGATTCTTTTTGTACTGTTTTCTTATAGTAGGATATACCTGAAAGATAAAGCAAACTTCTTTTTTGTTTCTCTGTTTATTGTCATTGGGGTACAGACACTGACCTCCAAACCATTACCAGCTTGTGGGGAAAAGGCAGAAGCTGAAGAAATTTTAGCCGTGACATTCCTCTAAGGCCCATTTAGTTCCCTCCTCTCATCTTATAGATAAGGAAATTAATGCCCAGAAAGGTTGCCTACTTCACTGAAGGTTGTGTAGTTCTTGGAAACCTAACTAGTGGAGGATCCTAGACGAGAACCCTGGTTTTCTGTTGTTCGTTCGTTATACCATAAACGCTTGAATTCTAGGTTCTCTAATTTGTAAGATTTTATATTAATCTTTTGGTTGAAGTAGATTCTTAAATATCCTTCTTGCTTTCTATGGCATAATATACCTTGTTATTAAGAAAAGTGTACCTTTACCATATCACCAGTTAAGTTTCCTTTGACTAACATTATGTTTGAAACAGAATATTTGAAAATCTTAGTTTTAGAAGAAAACTAAGTATATGGGCTCAGATACAAGTTTTTTGAGATATTTTGCATTGAGACTCTGAAGTTGATCACATTAAACATTATTATTTCTTAAATTTTTATGTAAAAATATGGGGGGAAAAGGGCCTAGTATTTTGTGTCATGAATTTAGGGAAAAAGTGATTATCTGACTTATCCATTTAATCTTGGTGGTCATTTTGTTGAAAAGTGATTGTTTAGAAGCAGGAACTTTTATATAGCATATTTTTAAAGCAAATGTCTGCTTTTCATTTGGCTCTTCGACTTAAATCGAAAGCTGATAAAAATGTCTACTTTCTTACAGAGCTCGATTTTATCTTTTTCACTTTTACTCTTTCAGATATAAAAGGAACAAGTAAATTGGATATCTTACCTTTAACTTACATGTGAAAATTTATCTTGCATGGCCATTTGGGGCCAGAGAAACCTCTTCCAGATTTATTGAGTTGAAAATCTTTGGTTAAGAAGGATCATGATGTCCTTTTGAGCTTATTTTGTAGTATTTGGGTGGTAGTATGTGTAATGTTTGTGTTCGTTTAGCTTTTCCCTTTTGAGTAATATTCAGTCTTCATGTGGCTTCTAACATGCTACAGGGATTTGTTTGTCAACAGTATGGTGCTACTTACGCTACCCTTTACCGGTAGGTGTCACTGTAGAACACCTTTTCCTCTGATTTGAAGCTTTAGATTATATAACAATTAGTTGTTTTAATCAGTCCTGTACACAATCAAAACTGCTGATGGACAGACAACTACTTAAAAACTCAACCACTGCTCTCAAAATCTCTTAACAACAGAGTTTGAAATTTAGTGGTAAAAGTTTGACCCTAGCAGCATTAGTTATTTAGGTGTATCTTATTTAGAATTAAAAGCATTGTATACTGTCTGTAAACCTTGTGCATTCGCACATTCACTTGATGGATATTAATCACTGAGAATTTTTTTTTCTTTCTACTTCCAGTATTTCTTAGACTATTTAGTAACTATTGGATACAAATGCATTACATTTTGGCTCCCTTGAATGAAGTGGCCTTGGTGAAATTCCCTTTCTTTATCCACAGACTGTCATGGCCATTAATCATTATAAGATGAAAAGATAGGAAGGCCATAATTCTCCCACTCTAAGAACTGTGTGCTATTCTGTGTTCAGTTAACAACATTTTGTCCAGCCTGCCCAAGCCATGTGACACTTGTATAAAAAAAATATTCTGAAGGAATTCTTGAACACATTTAGAAAAGATCAAATCTATTAACCTGTATTGGTCTTAGAAAGTAAAAGAAAAGATGTGTGTTTTAGTCTTGCTTTAAACTCATGTGTCTGAAAGAGATTACTGGAAAATAAGAGGTTTTCATTTTTAGCTAAATACCAACAAGGTCACTCAGATAAAGGCTCAAGTGGGCTAACCACCCAATTTTTTAGTTAGTATTGAAAATTTAACCCCTTAGCTCTCTAGTACCAATAGAATGAACCTTTCCAAATTCCACCCCTTCCTGAAAGGCAGTGTTGTTTGGAAGAGTCCTATCCATTTGAGAACCATGTGGCAAGTCACTCAAAATCTCTAATCCCAGTCTCCTCAAATGTGAAGAATTACTCTCCTTTCCTTTCAGAGATGTGATAGCCCTAAAACCAATTTATATGCCTTCGTTTTTCTCAGATGTTTTCACTGAAATACCTCTAATGGTAAGAGTGAGTTCAAAACTTTGGAGAATATACAGCTGTAGATCTAAGTAGGCCATTGTGTGCTTGAAAATGTTTAATGATTTATTTCAAGAGAAATCACTTTCTGTTATCTGTAGCATCTATGCATGTTCTAGAGGCCATATTTATGCTGTGGCTTTGAATACCACTGGAGACATTTCTGTCTACTCGGGGGGTGTAAGTATCCCATTTGCACATCAACCTTAAAGTTGCTGATTTACCCTCTAATCCCTCTGACATCTTGAACAGTATTTTGCTTTATTAAAGCTCAGATACATTTTAGTCTTTTGGTGGTGTTCCAGCACACTGTTTTAATATGAAAATAAGCAACTTAGTGTCTTCCCTACTTACTGCATCTCCTAAGTGATTTGGCTTCATTCTGCACCAAGTTACAAAAATATCTTAAAAATTAACTTCCCTTTATTAAAACCCTTTATGTCCATAGAACCCAGCTACCATTTACCCAAATCTCTGGGGAAAGTCTCAGCCATCTGTTTGCAGACATGGGGATGCTGGAGCTGGCTCATGTGTTTCAGTATCTGTTGCCTCAGTGTCCGGTCAGCACTGTGTGCATGTGGGTAAAATTGTAATATTTCCAAAATATCTTGCTTGACTTTAGTGCATTTGCATATCTGCGGGTGGAGAGAAGTTTGACTCTGTATCAGTGGGTAATTACCTGGGCAACTGAGGCTTATCTGTACCAGAGGGGTGAGGGGAGGCATGGTTTTGCTTCTGCCAGAGCAGGAGAAAGAGATGGTCCCAGACTGCAGTTTGTAAGCAATAAACGAGTTTTAAACTTTTTTTCTCCCTTTGACTGATTTCAGTTTTTAGAGGTATTTTGCCCAGGGATTTCCTCTCCTTGGACTTACATCTGGCATTAGTTGGCAG